AGGCTACGATGTATCTACGAAGCCTGCGTGCAGGTAAAAGTGCAATATTTCATAACTGTACTGTATTTAGTCATGTCACATGTTTTGTCAAACAAAATTTGATAATCTGGACATAATAAGCATTTGTAACAGAATCAAAATGAAAATAGTAGGCTAAAAGAAAACATTACTTAAAAAAAAATGTATAAATTGTAGCAAAATATGCATCATTATTGCTAAGTCATAATAAATAAGCATCTGAAACAGAATCAAAATAGTAGACTGCTGTAGTGGTAAAACAGAAGACCACTGAAATTAAAGAAAAAATTGTATTCCTAATAGATAGCCAAATACAGTATGCATAATTTTACTAAGGCATATTTATATTAAGCATTTGTAATAGAATCAAAATGAAAATAAGCTAAAAAAATTAGCACTATTGAAATTAAAGAAAAAATTGTAGGCCTAAGAAATAACAAAATATGCATTATTTAATACTAAGGCATATTATAGCATTTTTAATAGAATCATAATGAAAATAGGCTAAAAAGGAAAAAAAGTACTATTGAAATTAAAGAAAAGATAGAAAAATATGCATCATTTTACTACTTCCATATATTAACCAAGCATTTGTAACAGAATCAAAATGAAAATAGGCTAAAAATAAAAAAGAATAGCACTAGTGAAATGCAAATGCATCATTAGCTTGTAGCAATTTTGCATTATTGAGGAGTGAGAAATTGCACAGATTATAATAGTTTGCACTTGTTATAATGCCCTCTTGCCTATTATCTTTATTCCCTTTGATTCTAGAGATCATAAGTGTAATTGCATTCAGGTTTCTTTATACGTCTGAAGAATTCTTTAATTATGATATAAGAATGGTGGAAGTTTTAGTAGTGAAAGTAAACATTTTGCTTGAATGAAATATTATAACCTTGAATTATTTCCAGTTTAGTAATTAGAATAATTTTGCAGAAAAACCTGCATGATCTATTCTATATAATTTTGTTTAAAAAAAATGTAATTTTCTAAAGCTATTAATTGAGTTATGGTTTTATAAGATAATCATGTCACAACTGCAGTTGTCCATCATAAAAAAACAAGTCAATTTTATTGCATGCAATAGTACCTAGCAGTTGACAAATCTGCTATTGTCAAAAATAGTATTTTTTATTATTAGCTTTTAACAATACAATGTATTGTTATATAAATATATATAAATATTATAGGCCTAAATTATATGTACTGGAGGAATATATGTTATATACGACACCTCATACGGGGCTGATCCAGAGATGCCTGAAAGTTGGGGGGGGGGGGCGATCGAGACGCCCGAAAATAACCTCTGCTGCATTTTGGGGCGATCAATTTTTTTTTTAACCTTCCAAAAGTTGGGGGGGGTGTGCGGTTGGCCTGGCAGGGGCACCCTTCCCCTAAATTTGCCTCTGCCATATCTCCTAATCTTAATGTTCTTTCTTTATTAATTATTTAAATTCATTATAAGTATTATATTATTTTTGAATTATTTCTTCCTCTAATAACAATTAATTGTTTTTTAAAAATTGTTTTGATAATAGAGTATATTGTTTAAATGAATTTATAGATGAATTTGGCCTATTTTATGAATGCATTTTTAAACTGTTAGCTTTTTAATGTAATTTCCTGGATTCACTTCCTGTATATTATAAGCACATTATATACATTGAAATCAAGACACGTAATAGTTAAAATGTTTCATAGTCTGCTGAGCATCTCGTACCTAGTAATTTACTAACAGCACAGACAGGATGTGTTGAGTGTACACAACAATATTCTACTTGCACATTTATCTGTGTGTTGTGGTTAGATGAATTTATTGACACAGTCAACATCTACTATCTACTTACCGTAATAATGACAGTCAGGGGCCATCCATAGTTTTTAACATTTTCAAAAGAGTACAAAACATATGTTTGGGGGGATGTGAAAGAGGGATGAAAGTGTAGGCAAGTACTTCGTTATGAAAATAATAAAATAATCTCTAAATGACACATCAACATTTTATTGTGTACTTTTTCAGGAGGAGGGAGAAGAGAGTGTGTTTTGTACTCATGAAAATTATGGATGACCGTTTACAAATTATGAAAAGTAGATAGACGAGATTTATTACAAAATAAAGATAATAAAATAGTGGTAAAAATAAAATGATATTTAATATTGTAATTTCAAAGGTTATTTTTTAAACAAATTGGTATATTGAGAATTTTGAAAATGTTTATTTCAATGTTACCATATTTATTTCAATAAATGCTGTGCGTTTATTGTTTAGGTGGTTTTAAGCAGGTGTTTATTTGAAAGAGGCATTTATTTTTTTGGTTTAAAATATAAATGAGCTTCTTTATTTCACTGAAAGGTATTCCTTCCAGACTTACTCATTTTTTCTCATCCATCTACAGCAGAGGTGGGCATAAGGGCCAAAGTGAATTTTTTATTTAACACTGAGGAGCCACACCCAAACTTTGATGTTTCCAGTGGGCTTTCAAAAACCTCCAAGCACTGCTTTTACACCATTATATTTTCAGTTTTAATGTTACTTTTTACATATGATCGGTGTCGTGGCCGCACACATAGGGTTTTAATTAATTTTTGTGGGCTGCCAAAAAATTTGCTGTCATCTACATCTTATTTGTTTTTCTTTTTTTGTTGTTGATGAGTGTTGTGTTGTGTTGTTGTGTTTTGTTTTATTCAAATTACTATTGGACTTGTTGAAAGTGCATAAGACCTAGTATTATGGGCTATACAAAAAGTCTACAGTACAACCCTTACCATTAGCATTAGCTTGTTCATACAGTAGTCATTTGGGAGTGTTTATTCAAATCGATTGCATTGAATAAATACAGTTAATTCAAATTGCATCCATTGTGAAATTGAATCGCCTCAACCACAATTAATAGAGAAGGATATTCTTGAATAAATTCATTAGGTTTGTAGAATTAAAATTTTAAATTTTAGATAGTTATATGGACTTTTAATCCAAAGATATTTTAATAATTAATTATTAAATAATTAATTATTAAATTGTCTGAATATCTCCTTAAAAAAAAAATCCTTTTTTGGCTAGGTAAGAACTTCCAAGTACAATACAGTAACATCTCCCAATTACGAACCTCCCAATTACGAACTCTCGATTTTACGAACCCAATTTGCCGCGATGACGTCATTATGAACGATTGTTTTTAACTACAAAAACACTTAAAATTATATTTAAAAGTCTTCAAAAATAATATAAAATGTTATATCAGCTAAGAAGGAAAACATTTAAAGTTTAACGCAAGAAATATCGATCGTTTTCTACCAAGATATTTTACATTTGAGCTGTGCATGCTTGTTCGGGCATACTGTAAAGTAGTAAATCTCACTTTTTTGTTAATTGAGGGCGCTATTAACATGGATTCACAATTTTTCTTGAGACCAAAATAACACTTGTTTTGGCCATTTTTTGGTCATGTTTTCATTCGGAAATCACTTCAAATGAATTCTTCACAGTGAGCACAGGTAATTTTGGCTTCTGTAAAGTATTATTTTGTTTGCAGGAAACAGTAAAATCCAAGTCATTTTTCGTGACAAAATTTCACTCCCTTGGCAAGGCTTAGGCCTAGGCCTACCTAGCCAAGGTACTATCAATAACAAATTTTCTCAATTATGAACTCTGTTCGGACGGGGAGGTACGTAATTGGGAGATACTACTGTACTAACTGAAATGTACAGTATACAACAAACAAAAGTACTACACATAACACATTATCAGAACACCAAGGCTGAAATTGCTTCAAAAATTAGAACAAAATAAGAACAAAATTGGAAAGTAATTACAATTTCAAAAGATACTATAAAATTCTTTTGGGTCTTATCTATACCTTATGTACACACTGAACCTGAGCAAAATTTTACTGGCTTTTATAAAAAAAACAAACAAAAGTGTATTGTCTTAATACCTCCTTGCTTATTGCCAGTGTTGATTATACTGTAATTGACCTATATTCTAGATTTTTGCTTCCTTCCTTTTCAAAGATCAATAATATGACATGTTACCATTAAGATAACATTAAATGTTTATTTCAATAAAAATTCAATAGAAGTTTGAACAAATAAATTCAATAATTGATTAATAGTCAAACATATTTTATGGGAAGTCATTTAAGTAAAATACTATTCTGCTATACCATAAGACCATGAAAAATCCAGATTTAGTAAATGCAACTTCATTTAATTAAAAACTTTATTACAGTACATTGTGCTTAGATAAGTGCCATGTTTGAATATGCTCCCTTTCGATTAAGCACATGTACTGAAGGGGATAATTTTGTTAAGCACTCTGTTTGAACAAGCCTCACTTTTTAATATATAAAAAAAATGTACAAATAGGCCAACTTGCTTTTACTCGCACACCAACCAATCTGCAGTTTAAACAAGCCAATAAAAAATCGCATTCTAATATCAAATGTTTATTGAAATTATAGGTGGCACTTCTAAAGAGGCATAATTACCATTTGATTTTGGTTGAAAAATGTATATTATTTCATATTTTTTAGAACTCAAAATTCAAAATAGGAAATGAATTTTGATGCTCGCCGCCTCATCAAGGCCTTTGATTTGAGCTATAATATAATCAAAATTAATCTTGACATTATTGAACTTAGTACAGCCATATTTTATACTAGGCTAAGGAGTGAAATACTTGAATTATATACAATCAACTGAAAACACTTAGCCCATGGGCTATACAATTACCATAAATGTTTTAAAATGATGCGCTCAGAGCAAATTGTGTATGCTATCGTATAAAAACTTTCCCTAAATTTCATGAAAGCCAATCATGGGATACATACTATAGCTTTATTTAAATTTTCAACTTGTATTATAGGATTTAATATGTGCTTACTGCAAATTTGTCGAATGATTTGCTTGAATGCCTCTTAAATTAATAGAATGTTATATAATTTTCTTTAAGATGATCTATGATGATTCTTTGTTTGCAGTTAAGGTACGGTTGGTATTTCGATGGGTCGACAAAGAGCGAGTAAGAGGTCGAAGAATTCCAAGAGTGTAAGTAGAGTAAGATCGCAGGCGAAGATGAATGGAGATGTTGAAGCTATGCAGTTAAACAAAGATCAGGTAATTGAATAATTATTATTATCATCAAACAAATATTTCTCACTATTGGAGAAATGAACATTTCTAAAATATACTGTAGTTCCCCAGTGTAAGCCTACCTCCTTGAACACTAAATTGGGTCAAGTTTGGATGTGAACTTAGTCTTGAGGACCAAACTTGCTAACAGTAGTTATTAGCCTAACACTGGTTAGCCTAGGAATCAAAGAGTCCAGCCTAAAGGCCTACTGTAGAGTAGAGTCCTGGCCCAACAAAAGATGCTTACTGTAGATAGCCCATAATTCTTAAGAGTCGTCTGATAAGATACAGAGACAATCCGTTCAGACTGCCCCGTACAATCAGCATCACATCGTATGGCGCTCACAGGTAGCGGAGTTGGATTTGTTGTACGACGGTCGTATGACCGTCGGATAATGGTTGTATGACCATCGGAATGTGGTCGTATGACCGTCGGATGATGGTCGTATGACCGTCGGATGATGGTCGTATGACCGTCGGAATGTGGTCGTATGACTGTCTGAATGTGAGAATGTGGTCGTATGACCTTCGGATGATGTAGTGAGTGGCAAGCTTGACTTTCAGCCTAGATGCTGAATTCCGATGGAAATTTTTATACTTGGTTCCAAATATAGATGCGGCAGACTTGGAAAATTATTAGGATGGAGGATTTTTCGTGAAAGTAACTCAAACATTATGTTGGGGAGGGGAGGGGAAGGCCCCTATACCCAGGTGGGCTTATACCTGAGAAACTATGGTAGACAAAATATTCACTAAAGCTTTGTCTACACTATCAAATTTGTCTAGGCATCAAATTTAAAATGCATCACATAAAATTTGATGGAACATAAGTTTTTTGATACAATTTGATGATATGTAATATGACGTCATCACATTTTTTTGTCACATAATATTTGGTACTATAAACAAAGCTTAACATCAGAGTGCACATAACTTGAGATCAATGACCAGTGCAGTAAGATTATATGTTATTAACATTTCTAATTTAAACTAACATTTTGTTCGGAACTAAAGGCTCTATTAAAGTCCCTAGATTTTTTTTTGAGTTGATGTGTTGCTTGTTATTGGGTGCTTGATTTTTACTGTCAGGGTAGTTGGTTCAAATCTGAAGTTAAAGAAATCTTTTTTTATCATAACTAAAAACGCTCCTTTTTCTAAGCTTTATAATAAGGCTCTTTCATTTAGTCTAATTGAGACTTGGATATTTATTGTAATTTCCTCTATATTAATGTGCAATGTTTTGTTATAATCACAGATTGTTACTCATTGTTGCTTTAAATTTCCAGCTCTTATTCTTATGAATTGATTGTTGTATTGCTGAATTAATAGTTGTACTTGCCATGCTAATGGACAAGTGAAAAAAAACAAAGTACATAAAGTGTCAAAATTATTGAATTGATTAAAGTAATTGATAATCATTAGTAATGTAAGAAATGTTATTGCTTTTTTTAAGTCTTACTATTTAATTTAATCCATTTATTTCTGCCATCGGAATAATTCTATCATTTTTTTTAAAAATAGTTGTACTTCAATATGAATTGTAGGCCTACTGTGCCAAATATTGAGGTATCTTGTAGTAAAATTTAAATTGTTGTACAGTACTAATATTACTAAGATCAATTAAAAGGCTTTAAGTATAAATGTAAAATCCAAATTTAATTTCGAAAACTTCACACATATTGTTGTAGCTTATTAATATTTTGCTAGATTTCAAATGGAATGAAAATAAATTTGGAATTGTTCTTTGGAAGGAACAAAGAGGATGTGAACAAATCGATTAATGATTATTATTATAATGATTGTTCATTGAACAGTCTTTGTGTGAACAGTTGTAAGAACAGTCATGTAAATAGACATTATATCTTCACCATTGTTATAATAATAATAATAATAATAATAATAATAATAATAATAACAGTTTTATTTATTTATGGAAACTCATTTCAGTCTTTTTACAAAGATTGGTCTTCCAAGAGGCCCTGTCCTTAAACTACTACAGCAAAACAAAAGATTTGACACCATTTTTTTGAAACTCTTTAGATCTTCAGCATTTCATATTCATCAGTGTCACATCATCATCAGTATTGTTGTCACCAAAGTAATGTGCAAAAAAAAATATGCTCCAGCAACGTCTACAGTACACTATCAAGATTTATGTGACAACTATGTGATAAATTTACCCACAAGCGTGATATGTCATCAACATGCCTATATTTGGGCAAATCACACCTTGATAGTGTGGACAGGTCTTTAAGGGGACACGTACTTTCAGGGCCAAAATATGTGTCCTCTTAAAATAGTGGTGTCCCTTTAATAGTGATTGGCCGTAGTGTTGTTAAAAGATATTTTTCTTTTTTTTTTCCCGCCAAAAGTGTTTCTTTAATCAGAGTGTCCCCATAAGGTGTCTTCTTAAGACACAGGTGGGCAAAGTGCGGCCCGAAAATGATTTTTTGCAGCCCGCCAAAATGATATTAAAACCCTACGTGTGCGGCCCGGCATTCAACACTGGCTAGAAAACACCTAGTTTTGTACGGCGCGACACCGACCATATGTCAAAAGTAACATTAAAAAAGAGAAAAAAGTGGTGTAAAAGCAGTGCTTGGAGGTTTTTAGAAGCTCACTGGAAACATCAACGTTTGGGTGTGGCACTTGATGTTAAATAAAAATTTCACTTTGGCTCACCAACTGATTTTTATGCCCACCCCTACCTTAAGAAAACAAATAAAGACATACCCCTACAGTATTAATGTGTTCCTTAACATGAATGTCATGTAGGGATGTTCCCTTTATAATTTGTCTTTTTATAGAGGTTTGCCTTTACCGAAAGGTCCACTGATTAATCTCAGATAAGAAAGTATAATACATACTCCAAGTATTGAAATACACGCCATCGTGTTGGGATTCAATATTTCGACATTAATTATGTCATCATCATTCCTGATGATACACATTTTGACAACAGTGTCCTAATAATAAGTGAAATATGCTGTTTAAAATTGAGTTTCCAAATCAGAATAACTGTAATAATCTTAATTTTATAACCAATGTTTTCATTAGATGTAGTTAAAAGTACTTTAACAGACAGAAAAGATGGTATTTTAGCTTGTTACTTAAGTAAGGCATGTCATCAGATATGAAGACACTAAAATATATAAAAAGAAATAATTAAATTTAGGTTTTATTTGTGGAATAATTATTTTTTATGAACTAAAGAATTTAGAAATATCAGTTTGATGTTATTCTATCCTCTGCTCTTCATTCCATAATTTGTTTGTTAATGTCAAAATTATTAGCATAAAGTAAACTTGCTATGGACTCTGAAGGTGATTTTCTTAATTTGTTATCTTCAGCAGATAAAATGTTAACATTTAGATAATTTTTCCAATTTCACCTACAGGTCCATATGTAGGGGGGAGTTTTGTGGTTCGAGAGAATCCCTGTTTTCTGGCGAAATGCCCCTTCCCCCCTCCCCCAAACATATTTCCTGAACAAGTCCTCCAACCCAACTAATGTACTACAGACTCAACTAGTCACGTTTTCAAAAATATCTGTTTTATAGCATTGAACCCAACACCAAGAGAACCCCTTGATGATTAAGGTGCAGGCCATTTCAGAGATGATCATGGGTCAAGTCCTAGTAAATAAATTCAGCAATAAGTAAAATAACTCTACAAAAATCAATACACTTTTAAATTTCAAAATTTAACATTTTGAAAATGGGTAAATACACTCATAGATTGTTATATTGATGAATAAGAAGAGCTTTATATCGATTCATGGTTATGGTGCTCTCATTTTTAGTCATGATAACAGGTTACTTACTAACAAATTCCACTATGACAATATGACTCCCTCCCCCTCCCCCCACAAAAAAAACAAATAAAAAAAAAAAACAAAAAAAAAAAACAAATAAAAAAAAAAAAACAAAAAAAAAAACCACATTAAATTTATTGTTGCAATTGATAAGTACCTCATAAATATCAGATATAAGAATTCCATGCGATACATGTATGCCTAAAAGAAAATGATTTTTAATTCAAAATAAATCAAGCGCTATGGACATGATTAAGACTCTGAACATCTTATAATACTTTTTATGTAATAATATGTAGTAAAAGGAACAAAGATCATTAATTTTATGTACATCTTAACATAAGCTCCATGATCACTCCATTAAGAGCTAACACTACACTATGCGTTACAGGACAGATTAATAGTTTCAGAGCAATTGTGCAAAACTATATATGACTATACTACCAAAGATATACTAGTTATGATAATATTGATTGTCTTATATTTAATATATGAATATAGATTTATCTTTATAAAATATTGTAAAAACAAATTCTTTAAATTAATGTATATTTTCTCAAAAATCAATAAATTGTATGTAAATGGAAACCATTGCTATTACAAGGGAAAGTGGGATTAATTGGTCTCCACTTTTCATTTGATATTGTAACGAGAAATCAGCATATTTAAGTTATGCTGCATACTGTGGAGGTGTGTTATTGCATGTAGGCATAGACTGCATAATATATTGGCTAGAAGCCATGTTTGTACTTAATTGTTTATTGCGTGAATGCCTAGCCCACTGTATACTAAACCAACAAACGACATTCTGTTGTGAGAAAGATGTTGGAAGCATAAGATTGGATTTGGTCATTCAATATTATTATGGAAACATTGTAGTGATTATTCAGTAGTTTTTTTTTTTATTTGTTTATTAATTTATAATATGAAATGAAATTCTCGTGAAGTCTATTTTTGAATTCAAATGTTATTTCAATTTTCGTTGTATTTATAGTACAGAATGGAAATGCTTTGTAATATGATATTGATATTGAAATACTATTCTGACAAAGGTCATCAAACCATATACTACGTGGTGTTTTTTTTTATTAAATGAGATACTGTAATTTCAATACATATTATTAATGTTTCAATAATCAATACAGCTTTAATGTGACAGACCCATGCATCTATTTGTTTTTGTAAAAAGATCTAATTTCTCTATGCATGCCTTTGTATATTTTATTGTTGAATTTATAGAATACTGTAACACACAATATCATATTCTCTCTCGCATGTGTATTTCTCTGGTCATTTGAAAACAATTTAATCATAAACAATACGTAACCACCTCCACTCCCTGGTGGGTATTCCCAATCATGCAGCTAATTTAACATCAGGCCTACTCTACCAATAACACATTGAAATTACTGGTACTTGATAGCCACTAAAATTTCAATATGAATTATAATATTTATCATTTTCTACCAAGCACTCAATTTATATGAGGTTGATGCAAATGCAGATAATATTTTTTCCAGAGGGATCCATTTTTTCATAATTCTATCACATACTTTTTTTTTTCGGTGATTAATTCCCTTCTCTCAATAGATTATTAATTTTGTGTTAGAGGGGATGGGCTTACTTACTGTATGGCACTATACCACAACGATTCCATAACTGTATGTTTATGCGTATGACAAAACATTAAAATAATCTCAAGTCCTGATTATTACCAGATGTTCGACAAGAATGGAATGTAAAAATAATAATGCATTATTATTTGACTAAATCTGCAAATGGAAGATATACTATTACTTAATAGTAGCGGAAATAAAATGTAATGACTAATAATCTGTGTCACATGTGGTGACCATTACCACAAAATGATCTTTCCTGTGATTGAAAAATATTTCATTAAAAATATTAATGTTTGGCAGACATGTTTTCTTTTTTTTTTTTTCAGTTGTAATGTATTGTTTTTTTTTATATACTACTTTATTATTTTTTGTACATGTATTTCTGGGATTAGTTTTAATCCAAATTTCGGTGTACTAAATATGTTACGCTGCAGTGTGTCCTCAAATTTGAGAACACCTTCGGGACCTGAAAATGTGGGGTCATTTCCGGGTTTTGTCTCCAAATAGAGAAATTAGCTTTATTTTATTTAAAGATTATAAAGATTGTTGGAACTTGGTGCTTTAAAAGAGTGGTCTCGATTTGGAGGGGGGTATTGGAATTAGAGAGTTTTAAATTAGAGGACGAATTGTCACGTTAAAGAGATAATTGGTGAATTATGAAATTTAATACTTTATTGATTTCAGCAATGCTATAGAAATTAATACAAAATTTACTATGTCATACGTAGTGTATCATTGATGATGTCTCTACACCAGTGGTCACCAACATGTCCTAAAGGGGGTCTGAACTAAGTGGTCGCTTAAAGCCTTCGGTAGCGTCTCGAAATAAAATCCCTGATGATGGGGTTGGTGGCAATTTATGGTCTAGAATGGCCCAAAATTATGTTTTCAGTCTACAATATTAATAATATCTTTAGTCTGACGTCTTTGTTATGGCTTCGGATGATGAAACGATATTTCTCCGACCTTCATTAGTGCTGACACTGGTTTCTATGCACATTGGTATAAATTTGATTGGCAAGAAACTAGGATAGGCTGCACTTGTTTGGTGGATGCTCATACCATGCTCATATGCACGGATACTTCACCAGTTTCAGTATAGTTTTTGTGTCAGTCTGTCACGTCCCAGCCTTTCTACCCACTGTATTATAATATTAATATTTAGAAGTTTGAATTTCTTTACAAACTTTGTTGAAATTTTGTTGTTTTATTATTGTGGATTCAACAAACTAACCAAATCATTTTTTCATTTGCACTCCTAATTATTTACCGTTAAAAGTGGAAGAAAGCTGTCTTTTCACAATGATGGCATCTTTCTAATCTCCATGTATTACTAATTAGCATCATAATTAACAGGGTTTGATTAATTGTGTCAGGTCTTTTGTTGTCAAATGTCATTTTTCAAGGACTGATCCAACACCCACTCCAGTCTAATATTTTATAATCAAATACAGTATACACTGGAAGCTTACCAATGATGATGGTTTGTAGTTTTGGTTCATTTTGTTTTATCAGTAAATTGTAGTTTCATTTGTTCGGTTTTAATTCATTTAAAAAAGATTTGTTTCAATTGTTGGTAGTTTCATTTGATTTTCTATTTTTGACATTACATTTTCTTAAATCTAATGTGCCTTTAAAAATAGCGATTTATTTTATTTGTACATAATTTTTTCTGCTTAAACTCAATTGTCATATTTTCTGTTTACTACTGATTTTAAAAAGATTTCAATTTTGGAAAAGGATATAAAAATGTTAAAGTGAAGATTCATCTGAATCTCTGACTGGTATTTTGAGAATAAAATGCGTTAACGTTTTTATTCAAATAGTTTTGGACCATCAAAAAAAAATTCTAATAGATATAAAAATGTGTTTATCATGTGAGTATGTTTTTCCATTTATCAAAAAGAGATTTGAATTTGCACAAATGTTTAAACTATATATATATTACTTCAGGCCTAGATTAAAATAAAAGACTAGTGAAAAATAATGAATATTTATTTATAATTGTGAAAATTCATTTTAATTCACTGACAAATATTTTTTTTAAAATTTTAAAATATAAATTTCCTATGGAATGTTTAAAATAATTTAATAACATTAGGTTTTTGAGACCATCACCTGTGCAATGTACATATGTACTGCCTTAGGTAAAAGAAAATATTCATATTAAAACATTTTTTATTTAACCTGCCTGTTGTACCTAATTCACAAGGTGTTTATTTCATGGTACTCTGGTTTTAGTATTAGCTACTTCTTTTTTCTGCTATCAGGAATCGGCCTCAAGGACCCCTGTTATCCCTTTTGCTGTCCCCTCTCTCATCTCATCTATTACGAACATTATCTGGCCATCCAAAAAGGTAAGCTTCTTACAAGACCCAATCTTCCATCATTTTGTTAATTACATTTTTTGCTTTTCTTCCTTTAATGTATCATATAAATAATATGAATACTATGTATAAGATAAACTAGGTCAGTTGATACAAGATATTAGGTTTTGGTAACATTAATGCAGCAATACATATAATAATGATCTACAGTACATAATTTTGAATAGTAGGTTAGACTCGATCATCATTTTGATGGTGGGTCTCTCTGCTTTTTTTGTCCTGAGTCATACAAACTCCCATCGTAAGCCCTGTCTGTTAAATGCAATGTTTTGTTAGGCCCTATAAAAAATATTAGTTATCACCCTATCTAGGCTGGAAAAGTGATGAGGGAGGCTTTTTTTATTTTTTGTTTATTTTGCTGCAAATATCACCCTTGAGTTTTTTGCTGGTGCAGTGATATTCAAAGTAAAACATTATTGAGATAATACAAACAATATATTTAATGAAAAAAAAAAAATAAAATAAATAAAAAAACAAAAAAAAAATTAAAAAAAACATGCGCAAGGGTGATAAACTAATATTTTATTTTTATTGGGCCTTATCACTGTACATAAGGAGAGTGCACCATTAGCAGAGCTGAGTTTTTGAGTTATAGACAGACATTTTTCTGTATAAACTTAAAATTTATTGGAACTGGTATTTTTGTTATAACCATTTTTAAAAGAAGTTATGATCATCATTTATGTTGTAACTTTGTACTCAATATCATTGGAAGCGATTTAGATTGAAATCGAACTCATGACATCCAGAGTTTATAGCCTGGTGTCATACCTGAACACTTTTATTGTAGGCCTACAGTACTGATGGCAAGGGAGCTGAGCGTTTCGCTGAGAGTTAATGTGTCTGCTTCTTGCCAGTCCGAACCCTGCCAGCACGAGGTTTTAAATAAAGTCGGATTGCTGTGCTCCTTGGAATAAGACCGCATGAGAGTTAGTGGACAGTGTTTTTGTTAAATGGCAAACTGGTGCTGCACTGTGGCTTTTGCGGGTCCCCAAGTGCCCAGCCCAAATTTCTAATTTCAAATATTTGGAATTGGATTGGGCAGTAAAAAGAAAATTTAATCTTTAATCTTTTTAATTCCAAATAGCAGTGTTACTTACAATCTCAATAATGAATACTATGATAAATAGTAAACAATATAATTACTGTAATATGAATTTAGATACGTAATATATAGTAATACAAATATATATCATAGTATTATTAAAAGACTAATAATAATAGTAATAATAATAATAATAATACTACTGATAATGTATAAATACTAAAAATAAACACAACAGAAATATTTATAATAATAAGTAATAATAATAAGTAATAATATAAATGAAACATGTTAAATATTAGTGTCTATTAATACTTTGGAGACAGTAGAAATATGTTAAGAAGAAGATGAATAATTATAAATAATATGATGGAAAAAATTAAGTTGCCTAGCAATATACAGTAATTACATTGGTAGTCATAATTGCTGATAAGGCACAGTAGGCTTGATCAAAGGAAAATTATTATACCTGTATCTAGCCACTAATCACATTTGACATGTGTCAATCATAGATGTCAAAGTTGAACTTATGTTATGAAAATACGACTAGACATGGTTCTCGTGGGTAAGGATTTTACCAACACCTAAATGAAACAGATACTTGAAAATGATAGCAAACAACGTAGAATAGCAACGTGGGATTCGGTTACCGGTATTTCTTGAGGGAGCACACTGTTGAGTCATCACATATATTACACATTCATGTATTAACTTACCTGCACAGACACGTCTCAAAATATCTCATAATAAATAATGTGAATTTAAAAATAAATATCTGGATTTTAGGGATTTTATTAGTTTATATTATTTTTAATGATACACTGTAAATAGAATATTAAACTACGGTAATAAAACTAAAAGAATATAATTGAATGTTTACTTTTTAATTTAATGGAAGAATAAAATCTTTTTTTTTTTTCTTTTGCTAATTTACAAGCAAAATATTACTTTATTTTCATGCACTTAATAGACTGGTAATTGATTTCAGGTTTAAAAATTTTTTTTTTTATAGTAAACTGTGTGTGTAAATTAACAGCATTTTTAAAAAGTGTAGGCATATCAGTTTACTTATTTTGATTATTTTAAACGGTCTGTTTCAATGTTTTAATGGCATTTAAACATCTTTTTTTAATTTTAAGACTGACAATCTTTTTATTTTTTTCATTTTTTTTAATTAAAGGAAATCCATCATTTATATTTTATAATTAATATCAGATTTATATTATTATTATTATTATATATCATTTGTTTGCACCAGTATTAATAAAACAAAAAAAAAGTATGGCTGACTGGTCAGATTGCTAAAAAGCAACAAAACATTCCTGTCACTGGGCTCTCCCGACATCTCCTATAGGCTTACAACACAAAATACATTCTTGGTATAATAGGAAAATAAAGTACATAACATAAAAATATAAGATACGTACACTTACAGTATTGGTTTATTTTCTTACTTTACAGGACATATAATTACAAGATTATATTTGTACTCTCATATAGTTTTTCATGTAAAAATATAGATTTATTAACCATTTAATTGATTAGGTATACTAGTAATAATACATTACTGTCTCTGTAGAAGTACTTAATATGTTAGAATGAGCCATGTACTGCAAGCTATTTTTAGATTGACTGCATAAATGTATTATGCAATATTAATGTATAGTACAGTATTCTTGATGGTGATGTTATAACAGAGATTAATGGAGGAGCTGTATATAATAAAGTAATAATAACAGCATATGTATTGCTGCATTTACATCAAAAATACCATTTACATACAACCAAATCAGCACCGCAGAATTTTATATCTCGGTATCTTTATTCAAAATTTTTTTATAAAAAAATATAAAATCAAGTTGGCAAAATAGAGTTCCTTAGCAGCTAAAAGCTGAATTGGGGACACTCTTCACAAATAGCCAGTGAAAAACAACAATTCATAAATACAAACCATAATCACATACAAAAATAGAAAAATATATCGAACCCCATTCATTTACAAAAATACAAAAACCCAAGTCAAATACAAAAATATAATTACTATACCTAAAAAACTAGCAGGTTTACTAGGAGGACAGTATACGACTCAAGAAAAAAAAAGAAAAAAAAAAAGTTGATCGTATGTGACAAAAAAATGTGATATACCCGTATTTGGATGTAATATGACATCATCATACCAAATATGGGCACACAAATTTGTCACATAGCCCAGATTTGTTAGTACTTTTAATCTCATAAGTCAGTTCAATTTGTAAAAAAATTTCAGTTAAATATTGTCCTATAATGATACGATACATCAAAGCACATTATTGTACTTTTGAGCGCAACCTTTATTCAAAATAGGTTATTTCTACAACAAATATTTCTATTCAAGAATAATGCTTTGCAAAAAAAAAAAAGAAACAAAAAAATGTGTACTTTATACTACTACTAATAATGATAATTACACACGTATTATTTGTGCTGTAATTTATCTGTTAATTAGGATTTGTTTCTGAAAAATAAAGTTGGCTACAATCAGATACTCTGTTTTTTAACTACTGCATAACCCAATTCTCTGTTAACATTTTCCTGATTCAAGAATGGTTAATCATTTTATCTTATTTGTCTGATTAATTTTCTGATTGTTTGATGTACTGTCTGTTATGAAAGATATGGAGCAGTTTTTGTTCGGGCTTTTGCCCTTGTCCCCATGTGGGCAAACCTTTATTTACTGTCCGTTTGCCAAATAAATATTTTTATTATATAACTTGATTCTAAAATAATAACCACTGTATTTTTACAGATAATTTCATTCATCCCAAATTTTTGAAATACTTTTCTGAATGATGTTAAACCAAATAAAAAAAAATTACTAGTTCCTCGCACATTCATTTTCTCTGCCTCACCAACTTTTTTTTTTTTAACGAAAAGAACGAAAATCTGGCATCAGTAAAATTAATCGTTCATGTTTGGGGGATAAATATGGTATGAATCATGTCTAGTGCTTCTTTTATTTGCTTTCAATGTGTCTACTTGGTAAAAGTGAGAAAGTAGTAGGTTTCCCATCGACCATCTTGGATTTGCCATCTCGGAATAAAAAAGAAGAGAAAGAAGTGCCTCATTCTCCTTTTTTTCAAAATATTAGGATGAGAAACCACGTAAAAAAAAAATCTTTCTAGTAGAAAGGTCTAATTATAGCAAAAGTACAGGATTTGTCAAACTCGCTTAGCAAAAAGATCAGATTATATTTCTTTCATTATTTTTTTCTTATACATAAGTCAGATTTATCTGTAATTCCTAGCAAAGCAAAAATACAGTTACTTGTCTAAATCGAACCCAAATAGGCATTGAAAAATTGTTGGACTTAGATTAAATTTGACTTACAGATTGTTAATTAATGGAAAACACAACAGTTTGGCATGTAAAATAAGATCGACTCAGAAATTATTCGAGTTAGGCAAGTTTAACTGTATATTGTCTTATCTTATTGTACTGATGGTTAAAATAAGTTTGAATTTCATTCGCAAATGTGGAAGGCCTTTGCAAAAAACACAACTACTGGAAAGGTAAATTGAAAACGCTCTCCTGCCGTTTACTGAACATGCAACAGGCCAGTGGACAGTACTAATTTTAGAACAGTTTTAAAAAAAATTAATTCTCAAATATTTTATTTGTGAAGATTTTTTCTCAGCTGAAATTGATAAACTATAGTATTGGAGACTTTTTTGTTGTGTAGAGTGTAAATTTTTAATTACAGTAGTTGTCTATAGTATAAAAAAATAATTAAATAATTATAAAGGAACCCATGATAGGATGTATGTCTTATCCCAGGTTGGGCCCCAGGAGAAAGCCAATAAATAAAACTTGCTTTAAAAACACTCTTTAAATTTGATTTTGCATACTATATCAAAACAAATTTAAATTTTATTTTTTTGGTTAATTTAACAATCTGACCTAAATGATTCAAATTGAAAATAATTTAAAACAATATACAGTATTATAAAACAGTCAAATTTCCTTCCGGACAATGCTGAGGAGCAGCAAAAGCAGAAGATGCCAACTGTCATCCAATTCAATCAAATGATCTGCTCTCAGAAACAAAATGCAAAAACAAAATAACAGATCCTTTCAACCACCTACGCTACTAGGCTATAAAAAGATACAAATAATTTATCAATTTGCAATGAGATCATTAAATTTTTACTGATTTAAAGACCTTCTCCATGTAAGCCAGTTATTAGCCAATTTAAAGCCCTTTCCAGACTATCAACTTTTATTTAACAAAAGCATGTGATGTGATATGCTGAACTATGGTCATGATGACATCATATCATCACCGTATATAGGCACATTATGCCTAAATAAGGGCATACAACAGTTTTTTTGTCAAAAAAAATGTGATGAGTGTGAAAAAAGAATTCAGGCTTTCAACGGTTTGGAAAGTTCATAAACATTATTCTGTCTGTCTAAATTGGTGATAAAAACATTATATTATATAATTGTATAAACAAATTGCAATTTTATATTATTATTTAACCTATGTTGCTTAACATAAACAATATCTCTTAAAAAGGATGTACCTTAAGCATTAGTAGTTTTTGTGTAAGGGATTATAATCTGATTGGATGATGTGGTACCTTTTGTCTTGGAGAATTTTTTGTATTCTTTAATTAGATGATAAGACACATGTCCGCTAGGTGACCCTTGGAATAACTTGCAGTGCTTCATTAGTTGAAAGCCGCTTGTAATGTGTACAGTGGCAATTTGTAGTAGAGGCGGCTTTCAATGATGATGCCGCAGGATGTAGATCTTATGATACAGTAATAAAACAGCGCATTATGATGGTGGTGATTGATGGTGATGTTCATGTTGTTTATATGGTCATCAATTATAATAACCATGATGATTGTGATCATGATCCTCATGATTATTATCGTCACATGATGATACTTCTGGCAACACTGATGTTAGTGATGATAATGATTATTTTAATCATCATTTGATGGCATAGATGGCTGAGTTATTTTGGTCGAAAGAGAGAAATTTTGTCAGTGAATTGATTCTCGAATGAGACAAGGAAAGCTCTCTAATGATTAAGTTACTGCATGACCGTTTTTATATTTTTAATAAAACCAGTTTTATTCTAATTTTAAACAAATTTTCCTCTGAATTCTCGATAATTCGTTATCACGCATACTGTAGACTTGTAGTAATGCGTGACAATTTTATAATCATGCATGTTTTTCTGCAAAATGCGTGTTTCATCCAAAATCTCTTTGAAATGCGGGACCGTCCCGCACGATGCGAGACGGTTGGTAACTAAGCTATGTTAATTATATTATGATGATCTTTTTCATATGATTTTCATGGTGATACTGATAGTGATGATAGTGATTAATGATAATGATTCTCATCAGGATTGTTTTGATTGTGATATTTATTAAATCATTAAAGATTTCATTTATAAATTTCTGTAGATTACCATAACATTCTGAATACAATGATAAAAATGATACTAAACTCATTTTACATTCAAATGCAGAAACCATTATGTCAGCATATTTGGAATAAACAATGAACAATATGCCGGAATACTACTAGTTGTGTAATTTTAAAGAAAAACATTGAAGCATAAAATATACCTCTAAACTCTCTACCCTTTTTTGGTTATTGCGATCATTGACAGTAGTTAACAATAACATAGTTTTGTGTCTATTATATGCAATCTACTACATAATGCTAGATACTTGCCTTCTGATTTCAGGGTTCTGGCTTTAAATCAATCACTGAGTGCTTTTTTTTCCTTTACTTGTAGAAAAACATAACTTCATTCTTTTCACATTAACTTTTAAGGCTTGTTATTTCATCTTGCAAGTTTCAAGTTACTCACATTTGGACGAGAATGAAAAAAAAGAAAGAAAAATAAAACATAAAATGCGATATGTAATGGAAATAACATAATAGTATATTAATGGTATAGTTGGTGATTGGTAGATATCACGTTACATGTTACTAATACTTTAAATGGAGTGTCTCAAAACCACTGTAGAGTATGAAGGCAACCAAAATACTATCACTCTACCAAAGGAAACCCCATCTTAATTACATGCCGATCCTCGATTACGTTAAAGTTATTATCACAAATCAATGTAGCTCAGTAACATAAAACCAGCATGCCCTGAAGTGTGAACATCTGATGTACTGTATGTTATCAATGGTAGAGATAAAGCGAGACTCTATAAATATGACTTGCTTGGTAAATGATTAAACGTAACCTTGAACTTCTCGATGGAAAAATTCAGATTAAATACCGAGTAAGAATGATGTATTTAATGTACATCTAATTAATGCAGTATATGTAGAGTTTTGATTGGATGTTAGATAATTTTTCATTTTCTCTCTTCAATATATATTACTTCTTTTTCATGTAATGACTCAAGTCCATCTCCTGTATATATTGGACTTGTAATTTTATCTCTATTTTATTATTTAGATAAATATCATGCATTTTATCCTAGTCTTGATTTTAAATATTGTTTTAAAATCAAAGCATATAGATACATGATACCAATTTTTTTATTGTCCACAAAGTATGGAAATAAATAAAGCTCATGACTGCCAATACAATATTAATTAGTCCTATATTAAATACCTCAGATTATAATTTTGTATCCCAGCTGGGTAGAACAAGTTCTTGTAACAGTCCTCATTCTACCACTTATTAAGCATACTTACAAGCTAAATCTGTTATTAAATTTAAAGGTGTTAAAGTGTGCTGTTGGAAGGGAAAAATAGAATAGCAAAGACAAGTGGAGCAGTGATTTCATTGAGTGCATACCTCTACCCTGTATCTACCAAACAATACGCAGGCCGTTTATACTGTAAAGGACGATTCCATTAGGTTATTTTATGCTCATGGTTAATTAAATTTCAGTGACCTTGATATTTTCTTCCCAAAATATGTTTCTTTCGTAGATTATTATGCACTGTACCACTGAATTTTATGATGATCCACTCTTTACTTTTTGTGTATTCTTGCTAACAGACAGACAGCGGTGAATATATACTGTAGCCTCCTTAGTGGTGGTAATACTACTTATTACATCATCGTGCCTTCTAATCCCTGGTCCTGGGTTCAAATCCCTGCAAACCATTAAACATTCCTAAAAAGTCTGCTAGATCACACCGTCTAGATTTTATGTGACAAATACGTATGTTTGCTAGTTGTGTGACGTCATCAATTCTTTTATGAGCATGTCACAAATTTGTCACATAAAACTTAATAATGTAAACAGACATTTAAGTCTCTTAATGAAACTTATTTAATAGAGTATTTCTATAATTTGATTGTACTCTGCATATAGCAATGTAAAATGTCCTTAAAAAATGAATGACATATTCCTGATGACAATTATTTAGAATATTGCTGATATTCAAATGTACACGAGCTTACAATTAAGGCAAAATGCGAATGCAAGTGCCGTCGCTAAGTCGTTGCTATGCAAAATCTCGAAATTTACTCTAGCTTCTTATTACGCACACTGTATTGCCTCCCCAATAAATGTTAAGTAGAGGAATTTTCTAGACAGATTTGTTGGAAATGGTTATGCATGATGAAGAAATAGAATTCTTGCTGATATTTACCGGAAGATTTAATGTTATTATTCCAATGTTTCTGTCTGGTTTATTAAAGTAATAATGTAATTTTAAACAAGCACCATAGATTTATTAGGATTTTAAGCATGTATACATCCCTTTGTTTTGTGATGACAAAATTTTATGAAATTATATAATTAATCTTTCATTCATATTACGTTATATTTTAAAATTAACAAGTCATCTTTTTTAAGCCTGGTTATGAATTCTGTTATATTTATTGTTTATCATTCCTTAATCTTTAATTAGATTATTATTTAAATATTTTCTCAACTCACTAGCATTTCGCTTGTGCCCTTGAGCAATGCACTTTATCTGCATTGCTTCCCTCCACCCATGAGTGTTGGTACCTGGTCGACTTACCTGCCCCTGTGTTGTTTACAGTCAGCAACATTTATACATACAGTATACCCAATGACCGGGGACAGAAGCGCTTCGTATCTGCAAGATAAAGTGCTATATAAATAACTAAATAAAATGAATAAATACATACTTTAGTAATAGTTATGGTGGATAAGGATTGTCAAGAGCAGAACCATTTAACATGATGTACTGTACTGAGTACTTCTTCAATGGAACTGTAGTTTTATTTGCATCCTGCTACTCTATCAACAATATGAACCCTAGAAAATATTTGTATGTCAGGACATTTTTTTATTTAATAGTAATTCATTTCCATTATTTTAAAATCAGTTTTCCAGATTCAACAGCTTGTTTTCTAATTTCTGCTTCAAAAAATGTACTTGGCATTTACAGGATTGTTGTGCAATGGTCAATAAACCCAGTATCTTAAAAGAGGCTTAGGAATTATATTGTTTTTAGTATAATGATAAAATAATGTTCTGGTATTTTATAGGATTCGAACACAAGCCCTTGAATTTGGAAGACAAGCATCTGAATCACCATTTTACTACTTGAATTTCAGATTTTTGCCTAATTTATTATGAACATTTTACTAAAGGATATTTTGATGCTAAATTTGACACAAAATATAAATTTATTATTATATTTTTTTTTAGTCAATTGGGATGCCAAGGAAGAGGAGAAGGGTGGAAGATGAAAACCTGATCTCATCAACGCCTGTTAATGTTGGCAAAAGAACTCGATTAGATTCAGGTTGCAACCTTGAGAACAATAACTCAAGTAAGTCTAACAATGATTTTTTTTTACTATAAATTTAATTTGATACAGTAGGTGAGATAACATTTGACCATTGCACTCTGTATTGTTCACAAGTCATGTGACTATTGTGGAAAAAAAATTATACCTCCTGCAGTTAGGAACTATTTATAGATCTGCTATTCTTGTTTGAAATAAGTTTAAACACGATTTTAATAAGTCATAGCACAATTTTTGATGAACTTAAAATGTCTAAAATAGATCTGATAATGTTGTAGCCACCTTGTTGAGGATAGTTTGGGTCAGATTCTGGTAAAACGCTATTTCTTTTTCGGGGAAAAAATATAATGGTCTGTGATGTGGCTAAAGTCATCCCCCGTTGAGAATGGGCTATTCTTACATTAATGCTTATTTTTTATCTAAATGGGTCATTCGAACACTGACGCATATGACCTAAATACATTAAAAAGCTACTTCAGACCTCACTGCTACTGTGTAGCTATTTCTTACCTCATTTATTTTATGTTTTTTATAATGACAGTATATTGCATAAAACCAATAAGGAGCAAATTAGAGCTTTTATTTATTTTTGCAATATTTTAAAATTGTAATATAAAAGGTAACCTACAAGAACCAGTAACACTTTGCTTAGGCTCAGTGTTGTTTTTTTGTTTTGTTTTGTTTTTGTTTTTGTTTTTTTTTGGCCAATTTCAGGCTCAAAATGTTCTTACAGTATATTGTTCTTATTTTCACACTTTTCAAAGATAGATAATTATTATTGTACAGTCAGTATTATTATTGTACTGTGATAGAGCCCTGGTATTGATTAGACACTCCTACTGCACTTAACAAGATCTGTCGGTTTCCTTAACCTCAATTTGTTCTTACAGTATTTTGTTCTTATTTTTAAAGCAATTTCAGCCTCAGTTTTCTTATAAAATGTGTTCTTATTAAAACAAAAGTTTAATTGACCCAACATGATTTTAGTATTTGGTGTACCAAATCATTAATATGTAACTCTCCAAGGCTGGTGAAGGAAAATAAAGACATAAAATATATTGGAAAATAATAAAACTGAATTATATGGATGGGTTATTACAAAATATAAATTAAATCGGTTGCTAAAATTACATTACAAATGTCAACATAAAGTCAGTATGTTTTATGGTTTTTAAATTCCTGTTAAAATGATTAATTTTCATGGCTAGTTAAAAAAAAAAATTGATATTCTCATTTAAACTATTGTACATTAGTATTCACGCCGAGATGATTCAACGCCATCTGAGATTAATTAATAGTATGCACAATTTAATGGTTTGAATGTAGTAGGTTAATTGTTACATCCTTTACATTTAGTTGCACCCAAGAACGCTGTAGCTGCCAAATCATCAGAAGCCCCTGCCTCTGGCGACAACCCTGCGAGGACGGGTATCCTCGGCTCCATATTTTCTCCTGTCTATCAATTATTCGGTAAGGAAATATAATTATTTTACTTAAAACTATTTAAAGACTTTATAAGTACTGTGTTTTTTTGAAATAATTTATAATGTGAGCCAGTATTAATCTTGTCATGCATGTTGAAAATGTATGTACTTCTAAAATGCCCACCTTGTAATCGACTATTAATATTGGAGTCGGCGACCAGTCATGCTTAGTTTAAGGAGTATTATTAGCATGTCTTTAGGGTTAAATTAGGTAATTACTTTCTTGGTCTGTTTAATTTTTTCACGTTTAAGTTAGGTGCATAGAGGTCTCTATAATATGCGCTCTATAGTTCAACCATTGTTGTTATTATTAATATAGAGTTATATTAATTTGATAGAGGACACATACAATTTATACTCTATTGTAGTAGTGTGTGTTAAAATACACGTAGTGTTGCCAATAATTATCTTGTAATGCCTTTTGAAAATATAAATATCCTAATATTTCTACCTTTGATTGGCTATTAGTTCTATGTGTAGAGTGATCTTTGATGGATTGATGACTATGTTTCTTTTTATTATTTTAAAAATTCCTTCCACTTTATAGTAGCATACTGTATACACATTCCAGACAGGATGGAAGGATGCTCTATTAAACTAAGTTTCACAATAAGGCTTAGGGAGTGGGGTTGTTTTTCAGTCATAAAAAAAAATCTGACAGAATTTGAATCCAATAGAGAAATTGGAAGCATAAACACTAATCAACAGGTTTATTCTCTCAAACAAGTAATATATGAACAATTTATTTCATAATGTACAATTTTGTTTCTCAACATGTGTTGCACTATCTGTATGCAAATTTAATTGATGATTTAGTTGAAAATTGTATCTTAGAGCTGTATGTTATATAGCCTATCTGGCAATGGTGTGCTAATTTTATTGATTTTTCCTCAGATGTGCATGTCATGCATAACGATTTGTGCATATATTTAAATATTTGTGTAGTTTTCAATAAAAACATTTCATTATTGTACAATATGTTACATAAAATATAATATTTAAAGTATATTAAAATTTATAGGAACATTAACTTCCCTCCATCCCTCCGAAAAAAAAAATAAAAAAATCAAAAAATCAAAAAACATGAAAAATTTGATTGATTTCAGATTATTGTTTATTATATATTCATGCTTATTTTTAAACTGACCTTGATTTTCTCAGGCATTGGTAATGACAGCAAGGAAGGGGACAGCAGCATTGAAGGGGATGAAATGAATGACGATGTATTTGAGGCTGCACAGGGCCTTCATGCCTGTTGCCCTCCCAGTACGTCGGAAGAAGAACTGCCTTGTGTCGATGGGCTAACTACTGCTGAGATGATCACAGAGACCTATGCTGAGGACTTGAAAGATTCATCATATAGTGAAAGAGGTATGGGATTAACATCTTCTTTTTCACCATCATCATTATTATCTTTTTTATTATCATTGTCGTTATCATCCTTAACATCACCATGTCCTCTTCAATTTCACCATCGTCATCGTAGATTTATTGTCCTTGTCATTTTTAATATCACCATCATTTTCATTATTTGAATTATCATCTTCATTTTCATCATCCATTTCATTTTCAACATCCTCAATATCATCTTCAGTATTAGTATCTTCACTATCATCGTTGTTATCGTCATCATCATCATCATCATCATCATCATCATCATCATCATCATCATCATCATCATCATCATCATTGTTGTCATTGTGATCATCTATGTTGCTTAAATATATAAAATTTTTTTTTCAATTGGCCTCTTTTATTCCTTTAAAATTCATTGTATTTTTAATGTCAAGAAGCAAAAATGATTTTGCTTTGAATAAATGAATCTCCATTGTAATTTGCCTCACCAGCCTTCATTAATTTAATTTAATTTTTGATTCTTTTGTATTTTTTAAGATGATAATGGTAATGAAATAGTTAAAGCAGGAACAGAAGAATCGCCAGACAGTAACATGTACATGGACGAAGAGGACGCATCAGGTGGCCCCGAAGAATGGGAAGTCTTCGACCCGTAAGTCATCTAATCTACGCCATTGTCATCATTATTATTATTTTTATGATTAATTATTTTTTGAGACATATATCACGCCGCGGTGACCACCACTTTGTGCTCATGGCATTTTCAACCCTCGGTCTCACTGATTAAAAATGACACTCAAGTTGGTGCTGTAGTTGTCGTGGTTTGCCGCAGCATTAACAGGTATTATTGCTCAGCGTTGAGGTAGGAGGTTGAATCCCTCGCTGTGCATTCCACTTTATCTGCATTGCTTTTCTCCACCCAGGAGTATAAGTAGGTACTGGGTAGGGTTAGAATGCCAAATGCGCTAATTAGATGCCTTAACGAATGCTGCAAAAAATACTTCCCCGGGGAGCTGAGGCTGTGTTCCGTGGTCTTTAATCCATTGACTGGGATAATAATAATAATATTAAGCGTATAGAGGCCTTATCATGGTGCGCCGTGTAAGTCTACCATTATTATTGTTATTATTATTATTACTATTGTTATTACCGTATTGTTATTGTTATGGTTGTAAATTTGTTATTAGCTCAAATTCATAATAATATTTTCAATATTTAGTTTGTACCTTAATAGGGCCTTTCCCATGACTCATCCTTTCATATTGTATGCTTTAATTACATTATACCTTTTACTAGTTATTAGCGTTCAATTGAAAATTTTATGAAAAACAGTTTTCCTCGGCAATGGATGCATAATGATGCTACATTTTTTTTCAACATTAAAAGCTGATGAATTATTGGTTTCTTTTAATGAGCTTTTCAATATACCATTTGAGAATATTATATTTTTTATACCATACAACATAAAGAATTATAGAGGAAATTTGCATTTGACCACAAGGTTATAAATTGATCGAACTATGAACAGTTCATTAGTGGACGATTTTACAACTGTTATTTTTTTTCCTTATTTTTGTGTCTATAGTAAATGACCAAATAAACACTTTGGCACTTATAAATTAACTCTTGGAGGCTTTTGATACAGCACTACAGTAATTAAAGGGGGGAGGCACCTAGTCGATAGCGTCATTTATTACAAAATTATTGGAAATAAAAATAGGAAATGAATATAAAAATAGATTATTTTGGTATTATGTGTTGTACATACTCCTATCAGACTGGCAGTTTCAGCATTAAAATTAACTAATCCATGAGAAATAAAAAAAAAATATTAGTGTCTTAATAATGTGAAACAAACCAACTAAAGGCTAGTGGAATTACTGCCTACTTTACTCTTGATAAGTGCTGCAATGTGAATTCAAAATAGAATATATCTGTAAGGGCTCTGCTTATTGGGAAATAAACCACATTATACATAGCCCAATATATTTGAAAGCGGCGCTTTTTCTATTATTCTTTGTACTTTGTTAGTGTAGTATCGGATCATAATGTTTTCATATAGAAATAGAAGACCTAGTTGAATTTAAATATATCCAGTGAAATATCTTTACAGATCTAAGCTTAGTTTTGCTGGTTATAAACATAGATAGTTCAGATACTATTCTATAAGCCAACCTCCAAACATTTGGCTAAAAAATTTAGTGTGTATATATTTATGAATAATTAATTATGGATATTTTTTATTGAGATTAATAATATGAAATTTATTTCAAGAATAAACAAGCTTAATTTTTCTGTTACCAAGTGGTAACAATACTCTAAATAAAATATGATCTACGATGTAATCTATCATAAATGCCTTTTTTGTCAAACAATATAGATACATCACAATAATTAGTTACTAGCTTACAGTATTTGCTTTTTCAAATTGTTGACCTTTTAGCACTATGGAATTTTGCCACTTCTATTGTGTGAGCAGTGACTGTACTTGTTTATTATTAATGCAAGTTTTTGTGTATCAGTGACAAAATTCAAATAATCTAATATGCTATATATGGTTATAATATCATTGTACTTGTAAATTAATAAAAGACTAGTATTTATATGCATCATAAAATAGTTGAGTAATTTATTTTTTACGTGTGTTATGATTCTAAATAGCATTATAATTCTCAATAATTGATATTACGCTTTATCATGAGGTAATTCATTCGTTGCATTTGCTGTATGTATTATAACATTTTGTTGTTTTTTTTTCTTTCTTAGATATTATTTCATTAAGCAACTTCCGCCACTACAGGAAGTCTGTGACCTAGGCAGCCGAGATCCTGTCCTGCCTCTCAAGACGCGAAGTGCACCTGAATACTGCTTAGTTGTGGATCTGGTAAGCCTGAAAATGTCAGATCCGTCATCACGATTATTACTTGTATTATAATTAATTCTATTATTTTATTTGAATTATTGTAATGGCCTTGAATGCTACTTTGCAAGCTTGCATTTGACCTCTGACATTTAAAGTTGGTGTTTGAAATAACATTAAACTTTATGTAGAGAAACAAAATTTCCATTATGCATGCTGCAATAAAGAATATCTTACATTTATCCTATCTCGATCAATGGCTGCATTTTATCCAAAAAAAATGTCGTTGATGGGGAAAATTCATGGGAATAGTTTAGCCCCGGAGGATTGTTGGACGGTTGTAAGTTAAAATCATGATGAGCACATTATTTTTTCTTTTGAAAATTTATGTAATAAATGAATTCGTCTAACATTTTTTTAATTTTTTAAATATTCAAAAGTCAATAAGTGATCAAGCGCATTGTGCAACCGTTTGAAGCCTATGGGTAAAAAAAAGATATCATTACTGATATAGAATGTGTACCTCAGACTAATTAACCACATCCTTACATGCTGAACATTAATTCTAAGTTGGAAAAATGTGGCAATGTAAAAGCAATGCTTTACCACCCAAGAACATGTAGGAATAGGTATTAAATATGTTACCTAAGATTGCATTAAGCTGGTAGGTACCATCAGGTGACAGATTTTGCAGTTTGGTGAATAGAGTAAATCTGCATACTGATGTAATCACAGTAAGTATGTACAATGATAAGGCCAAAAATAACATTATTTACGTTGCTCAAAATTATTGTAAGAGTATGAAAATAATTACATCAGGAGATATGCTTAATAGCATGATAATGAGAATTAATTTCCTGAAGTATCTGTCACCAAATAAATCTATGATGTAGATACTTGCTTAACAATTGAGAATTTTTTTTATGGCCCCACTTAAATAACTTGCCTGTTGCTCTTGTAGAGATAGTCAGTTATCAAGTCACCCTCTAGTGTTTCTTGATAATATGCCTACCTTTTAGGCAAACAGTTTTTTTGGGGCTTAATGATATGATTGTGAATATAAAAATAATTGCATCAGAAGGAGGAGATAATGATAATTATGTTGAGGTAGAACATTTACTGAAGTTAAGAATTAATTGCAGAGAGAAAGGCATGATAATGACCATTCATTTCCTGATCTTTCTGTCACCAAACAAAACGGTTACCTATGAATGATTTAACCTTTTTCATAACACAAGTGAGAATTTTTCAGAAGCCCTTTCAATAACTTGGCTGTTGCCGTTTCAGCAATAGTCAATTATCAAGTCGCTGGATTGTTTAATAAAAGAAGCTTGATCTCCAAAGCTGTGTTTTTCGCTGTACACCACAGAAGTTTTGTGATAATTTGTAGGAAATAGGTTTGGGAAACTTAACTGTTAAAGCAAGCATGCTAAAGAGTGAATCATTATAATGCTAGGGAGGAAATGCGATTGACAGTTCCAGCAGCTGCCATGATGTCTTGTTTTTTCCTGTTTTATGACAGACTATTTTTATGCTTTACCTGTTACTGAATTCTCTTAGTGCTGCTCTGCGCCTGCGAGCCCCTCCCTGGGACTACCATAGCCTTGGCGAATCGCTGATTGGATAGTGGTGATAGTCTGTAGGGCTACACAAGACAGATGCATGGTATTAATCTGTTACTTTGTTAGGCAATATTGAATAAGGACGTGTAATTGGATGTGAGAGTCTCATAATTAATGGATGATTAATGTTATTAGATGGATGCTATCATGTCATTGATAGATATGATGTGATTGGATGATTATTTATGTGAGTAATGATCATGTGGTTGGTGGGTGATCATCTGATTGGATAGATAGATGGTCACATGATTGCATGATTGATGATATTAGATACCTAGTCGTTAATTAAGCTTGTGATTACATTTTTTTAATTTATGGTTGTAGGATTTAATTAAATTTGTTGGATTTAATTACAGTTGTTAGATTCTACTCATCTTTACAATATGTTGTATCATGTTAACCATTCTATTTTTTAAAGATATAGCTAGGTTAATATGGTACTAGAAAATGAAGACCAATAAAAATAAAAGTTATGCCATGTGTCTTTTTGACTATTGGAATGACTAATAGAATCTGAAGGTCAAAAGTTCAAGCCCGAGGCTGGCCGCTTGAATCTTGGACATGATACATCATCTACTTTTATGTGTCAGCACGTAAAACTATAGATATACCTGTGTTTGTGCACACTTGTGTTAATGTATTCATCTGTTGCATTTCATAACTCGCTGTGATTCTTACACCAAGTAATTCCCAGGGGGTATATATTGGTACCTGGTAACATGGAGGTGATCTGAAATAAATTTAGCACTGTTGAATCACATGGTAATGTTTAGGATGTATACAACTTGAATATGAACTTTAAGGTCACTTCCCAAGGACAAGGGATGGATGCTCATTGTGTATGATTGATTTTGTATTCAATAAAATCAATATAATCGAAAGAAAAAAATCAAATGTTATTTATTTGTAGTTAAAACAATAAATTCATTGATGTAAATTGTTGGAGATATATATGTACATAATATAGTATGTTGAATGTGAGGTAAAAATGATCAAGTCTGTCCTAGTAAAAATCAAAGGTGTACTACGTAGACCTGAAACAGTTTAGTGCAGAGTAACTATTTATTTTCACCCCATTTTCATCCCATTCACTAGTGATTAAAGACCACTGACAAGCAGGCAGGCATGTAACTTACAGATACTTAAATGATATTGGCATCTAATCTAACATACCTCAATAATATAAATCAGAATGCATAATAAAAAACATAGGAAAGGAAAAGGTGTGTTTTGAGTCTGCTTTTCCTACATAACCTGTTTTCAAACTTTTCGGCCAACGAACCAAACAAACGTCCAGGAAATTTGCCACAACCCACTTCCCGGGACAATAAAAACAGCTACTCAGGAGTCATTATAACTGGTGAACAAAATTGAAGTAAAATATTTAAATGATACTTAGAATGTGCACGGTCCTTTACTGCCCTAAAATTTAGCATGATATAAAACCCATTTAAAAATAAATCTTAACAAGTCTCACGACCTAATTTATTTGGCGACCCAATTTTGCATCGTGACCCATAGTATGAGAATCGTTGTCCTACATACTGTATTGTAAAAAATGTTCTATATGAATGAATAATGAATAATATATATATTTATATATATATATATATATATATATATACTACCTTT